CTATTATTTGTTTTTCTTTTAAGTAAATTTAGCCTACTTTTGCTAAAAGAGAAAATATGGACTATTGATAGTGCCTTGAATAATATCGGCTTCTTTCATTCATGTTATGGGTATTTTTATACAAAGGAAATTTTTTTGTGCCTGTTGAAAATTAAAGTTTTCTGACATAGCCATAAAAAAATGTTGCTTTATTTATCTGACCATATTGGAATGTATTTGTTAGGTTTTCAGTCAATTAAATTTGGTTCAATAAACAATATGTGGTCATTTTTAAAATTTTCAATGAACATTCGATCAGTCCGGCCCTCGGCTTGCAGCAAAATTTTTTATCTGGCCCTCCGTCCATTTGACTTTGACACCCCTGTTGTATAGCTTTAGTTCCAAATCATAAAACAGCCATAAGATTTCTCAACCAGTTTTCATGAAGTTAATTGTCAATGCCAAAATGTTTTGGGTTTTTTTGTGTGTGTGAAAATGTTTTTTGATTTTTGTGACGTCCACGAAAACGGAATGCAGTAAGATGGAAGAACTTAAACGTCGCCATAGACTGTATGTTAATGATGGTAAAAGCACTTGGTACTTAAAAATATATATTTATACGTAAATGCACTGTATTGCATGGTGCAATGCATTTAATTAACAAAGTTATAAGGATGTCAATCCTTGTCATAATTGTGTGTTTGTGTTACTAGTAGTTTAATGTGTCATATTTAACTGTCAGAGGGTTGACGTGGATACAGTTGGGTCATCAAAACGTTCTGTCAGTTGTGGATGCCTGTTAGACCCTTAAAGCAAAATGGCCGCAAGTATCGGCCACTGTTGCAAGTACCGATACCGAAACCTGATATGGGTACTGGCCCATCGCTCATGAGAACTATACAGATTTACCCTCAGCAATCTTAAAATGGTGATTGTAACAACAGAGAGGAGAAACATTTTTGAGGAACTTTTCAATTCTCGTTGGTGAGGCACCAAAATGGGACATAAACCAATGCTAACGTGAATAAGAAAAAAATTGAATACGTTCATTTAAAAAAAATAATAAATATAAAAATATGATTTGGACGTATACGGGACAGCAATATAAAACTTGTGGTGTCATCACATCAGGGACAAAAAAGGGCAGTAAAATAGTGTGAAGTGTTACTGAATGTGTGCGTGGTTTGTAAATAAAGGCTCTGATAAGCATATATAATTTGAAGCAACAAATACTTAATTGTTGCTGAGAACATCAGTACTTGAAATAAATTTTACGGGCTTTATTCCATCTCGCATGACAAGAGTGCACTCACCTTGCCCTGGCCTTTCATCAGTACTATGCTGGAGATAATGGATGGCTGCGCAAGTCGCCATGGGGATTCCACTTGAACGGTGCTCAACGAACGTGCTGATTTTTTAATGATCTGATATTCCTGAAAGCGAAAGGCATACAGGATAACAACAACAACATTTAAAAAAACTTAGATTGCCAACCTTACAATTGGTCAGCGACAACTTCCTATATTTCCAAACACACACTGGCATAGCTGTCTTTACCCATCTTTTCATATGTTTTACCCATTTTACATTTCTACTCAGTTACTTGCGGTCATTGACCATTTCAATGTATATATTATTATGATTTAGCTAAGGGGATTTGTTTGGTTATCGCTCATGCCATGAAACAGCTTCTGTTTTGCTTTATTTTTTTAGACTCTCATTAACATAGCAATTCGAGTGACTATCTCTGAGTCACTGTTATCATGACAGCCTTTTGATGTGACACTGTGGAGAACACTAATATGAATAATTTCATTAAGAAATTATACATTTCGTTATTCCTCAAGTTTCCTAATTTCGGGATGTAATGAAATAGTCGAAAGCACCCTAACCGGACATGAGATGGAAACATTATGTAGGTCAACATACTACAGTTTCCGTGCATCTTTCTCAGCACACTAATGAGATACGTTAACAACACAAGTGGGGTTCAACAGGTTGAAACGTATTTACGGACATAATTAACATCGGTATTTATGTAAGAGAGATGGATCTCCCATTTGGTGGTATAATAAGCAGATTGTGGTAAATAGATATTATTAAATATTTTTGAGGGGGGAAAAAAAAAATTAATTGAATGGATACCAGGAAATTGAAAATGAGTAAGGCCCAGAAAAAGGTGATAGAATAAAGAGTGGTTAGCACGTTTGCCTCACAGTGGAGAAGCTGTGGTTTTGAATCTCCTGTTTGGAGTTCCTAAGAGGGCCTGTGCACTGCCTGAAATTAATCAAAATTTGTTTTCAAATCTCTAAATGACCTCGCGCCACCTTACCTCTCTGAGCCCATCCGCCCCTACACACCTGCCCGGCGCCTGAGGTCTGCGGACCAAACATTATTAAAAGTACCAAGAACTAAACTGAGGCTCAGAGGGGATCGAGCCTTTTCCGTTGCTGGTCCCTCTCTCTGGAATGACCTCCCACTGAACATTACATACTAGCCTCCTCGCTGCCCATCTTTAAAACCCGCCTCAAAACTCACTTGTATTCTTTGGCATTTGACTCAGCATGACCCAAATTATGATCTTAGTTATACTGTTTGGTGCTCTCTACCATCTTTGTTTTGCTGATTTGTTGCTTTGCGTTACTGTTGTATATGTTAGTTGCTCCATATACAGCGCTTTGTGTGCAGCGATGGCTGTTTGAAAGTGCTCAATTAATACATTTGAGTTGAGTTGAGTTGAGAAAATTACAAGTGACCATATTACTCACCTGTCTATCTACAACAGTATCCAGTTGTTGTGGTAAGGAGTGTTTTCGTCTGCCTGGCTTTGAGGACTTCTCCGCAACGCCACAACGGCTCACACCATTCTCCAGAAAGAGCTCATCATCCTCACCAACTGACTCCAAGCGACTGCTACCGCCTATGACTGGACAGAATAATGAGCTGAATCCCTTGTGAAGAACGGTTCTGTTTACAGTTTCAGTCTTTCTTTGTAACACTCATAACAGACTATGAAAAATCACACTCAAAATAGCAACTGTCTGGCACAGCTAACTGTTACCACAAAGTGAAGTTTATTAATTTTCTTCGATATATTTTATACATTTAAGGAACGGGCGTACCACATCAGCAAATACTTCAATATGTTCATAAAACTTATAGTATATGAGTGCTCTACAAGATGGTTATTTTGCAGTAACTAATCAATTTCAAATGACACAAAGTAAAAGTGATGTGTAATTTAATGTGTAAAGTAATGTGACATTTTCAAAATAATCTGCCAAACACAGTTTAAATATTTGAATGCTGCAATGAAATATCTCACCAAAAACAACAGATGTAACAACAATGTAAGCAACTATTTGAGTTACTCTGTTATAATGAATGTGAACCAGGTTATTAAAACAAGAGTGGCCAAAGACCTTTGGCAGGACTATATATTGACCGACTAATGTATGTTGGGTGTGAAAGCAACAATATAAAACAGTTCAAAAGACTGAATGTATGATCAAATGATTTTGTCTACATTGGACTGACGCATATTCAACCAACGTGACAGAAAGAGAGGGGCACTAAATATACTTCCTCGGATTTATTTTTTTGTCATTGCAAAATGCTGTCTACGTTATCTTCAATTGACACAACAAATGGTTAATGAAAATTACCCTTTGATAAACATCAAATTAGTTGTCAGCTTGGCTGAACTTTAGCGAACTGAACTTTACCAAAATGTAAGTGGAAGTTCTAATCGAACACCAGCCATTTTAGATTTTTGATGAATTGTCATCTGTCGAGCGATCTTTTACTAGCGGCTCCCATATCTGCCTTGGCTCATGAGGGTTACCAAACTAGGGCTAAACATGGCATCAAAACCAGTGGAACGGCTCAGCGGAACGCCGCAAAATCTATCTATGATCCCCCCATTTGTGTTGTTTGGATCCAGTGGTTGTTGGTCAGTCAAAGCGCTAACTGCAAAATGTAAAGCAATACTTGAAGCATTTCAATTGCTCGTGAATTGTTTTAGGATCATTGTTTAGATTAATCATACTTGTGTGTCTTAAATATACAGACATCTGTGTGTGTGTGTGTATATATATATATATATATATATATATATATATATATATATATATATATACAGTAAATATTCCCATCCCCGGAATTCCATGTAAAGGAATATCCTTCACCCGGAACAAAAGCCTGTGCATTAATATTTTGACTACGATATTACATGTTACCGGAACTTGCGTAAGCGGAAATTCCATTACCCGTAACCCGGATTGAGACGTCATGCCGCGGGAGCTTAAATACACGCATCGCCCACCCGGTTTGTGCCCCCCCTCCCAAAGAACAACAACAACAATGTGAGTAATCTGAATGAAAAGTATTTCCTTTTAGCCCAAGTGGAGTTGAAGTGAGGTAAATAAGCTTACGCATGAAGAATGTCTGCGGGTATAGGAGTCTTCCCTGAGGGACGCCCACATGCCGCGTCAAAGCAGCAGTCAGGTCGTGAGAAGCAGGCGCGGATGCGACGCGGGATGAGACACTATTTTTCTTGTAATGTTGCTTGTGCATCTCTGAGGACGTGCATCCTTGCGTCTGTTTATGTGTGTTTGCCAAAGATCGGCCTGAACGCTCCCCCGACCTTTGATCCGTGCTTCAGCTGGTCAGCCTCTGTGGATGTGACAAATTCCACTGGGAGGGAAAACTGGAAAGGCTGAGCTCGAATGCGAAGCAATGAGGCGTGGAACAAAGGTCCATTCATTTTGGGGGCAAAATAATTATTTAATGCTCCACTAGGCAGCAGCAGCATACAGTGGACTTGAGGTTTTGCATTTCTTTCATTGAGATATTTTAAAAACTCATTATTATGTTAAAGAAATGTTTCAAAATTTCACCAAAGGTTTTGTGAAAAAGATTTGAAGTGATAGCTCCTTGAAGAAAAGGAAGAAAAAAAAGGAATTGCAGTCCTAGTCCCAGGGTAATAATAGTTTCAGATTTTTAATTTTAGTTAATTTTCATTTAGTTTGGAGTTTAGTTTTTTTCTTTTAATTCTGATAGTTTTAATGAATTCTTCGTGGGTTTTTTAGCTTTGAGTAGATTTATTTTTTAATGCTATGATAGATATATATATATATATATATATATCTATATATATATCTATATATATATATATATATATATATATATATATGTGTGTGTTTATCAATCCATCCATCCCGTGGAAGGGTAAAGGAGGGTTTGAAAATGTCTGCCACTGAATGAGTTTTAATATGGGCAACTAAAATGACATTTAGGGGAGAGTCAATTAGTCGTGGAACTTCTCTTTTGCCGCTTGAGCTCCACTTTCATGGGAGTTCACACCATTACTAACCCTGGGATTGACTGCAAAGCTTTATGGTTGCAGGACTGCAGGAAGATCCTTGAACTGCCTCTGTCTGGCATGTGTCCTCGACTTTGTCCAGGTTAGTCAACTGTAAGCAAAAAAAAAAAAAAAAACCCAAAAAACAAAGAACTGGTTACTGCTGGTATTCATAGTTTTCAAATACTCTTTCATTTTAATTACCAGTACATATTTTTTAAGAAAAAGAAAAAAAATCATGAGGGAAGCCTGAGTAGAGAGGTTCTGGGCTTGAGTTTCTGCTCAGGCCCCACTGTGTAACGTTTGCATGATGACCCAGTGCTTGCAGTTTTTCTCTAGGCACTGCAGCTTCTTTCCACATTTCAAAAACATGCATGTTAGGTATCATGCAGCCTACTGCTCATATGTATCGGAGTGTAAATGGTATTCTGTATCCCTCACCAAATATGGATTGATGGTCAAAGGCCACCATACTCAAGTGCATGCAGACTTCAGAAACGGATCAGGAAGTGAATTCAAGCCAGTAACTTGCCAACTAGTGACAAGGTTTAGAGAAAAAAATTGTTTATACCTATGTGCCAAACAGCAGCTCAGACGACCCCGCCCTTATTCAAGTCCCTGGAGAGGGTGCTGGATTGTCGTCCCTAGACTGCATATTTTGCTTCAGTGTGTGTCCAATTGAGACCCTGAAGGGCATCTGTGGGAGGAGTGGTCTCTCTGATCTAAACCAGAGTGGTGCTTTGTTATGGACTTCGGTGTTCATCACGTATTGTCCATAACGAAAAGCATGTTCAAATATGAGTGGTGAACATACACAGAGATAATTTTACAGTTTACCCCCAGCGAGTCCCAGGGACTCGCTGATCAGAAAAGCATGAGTCCCATTATGCATTTAGTGAGTCCCAAATTTCGAATACTGAAATGGTCTACTTATTCAATTGCATATGATAATAACACAAACAACAACATATACATGCAATTACAAAAAATGCTGCAAAAATTTAAATAATTCAGTAGCAGGCCTGAGGATTTCGGAAATTCACGGTAACCGTTTTTCGGTTCCGTCGGATTACCCAATGGGAAACCACGGTAACTAATTTTGGGTTCCGTAAACCTTCATCATGGGAACCCATTTTTCTATTTTGACTGATATTCATAATCAAGAATTCTGAAACTCAAAAGTACAATGTTTCAAGGGTAAATGTTTGAAAACTATGCATTAAAAATGAGCATTACATCAGCAGCGGTGTACTCCAGGTTTATTCAACAAAATAAATGGATCAAAATATGTTGTACTCATATGGCATCATGAATACAGCATACCACAAAATCAGAGTATTTTTTCCAATCTCACACTTCAAAGATTAATTTACTGGTAATCATGAATACAGGTAAATATTGACGTGGCTTGACATCCTCTATCCAAGACGATGTATGTGTAATCTACTATCAATTTGACGAAAAAATCTAACACACGTCATCATTAGTTCTACCAACAGTTAACATTAGCATTACTACCCCTTGTGACAAATGTATTATTCCTAAAGTTACCATGCTACAACCAGTAAATTATAGAATAACCAATACTGTTTAATATTTTTCATAGCGATTAGCCTATAGATCAAATGACCAACTTGCTTCGTAATCGTGCCTCGCGTCGTATCTCGCTCTCGTGTTCTGTGCATACATCACAGGTGAGTTAAGTGATACGCCCTTCGAACGAATCATACGAAAAATCACACTGGCATTCCCATTTCTTAAATGTCGTAATTAGGAGACCTTTGTGAGTTTTTTTCGCCGCCATCTCAAACTTTCATCCGCACGATTCCTCAGTTTGCGGACTGAAATAGCAACCCGCACGCGCACATAACGTTATCTGCTCCGTCCCCCCCCCCCAACACTGAAAACAAAACAAAACGAAAGTAAATTAGAAGAAACACACTCACACACCACACCACAAACACACATACAGACACTGTGAAATTGCGCTGATCACACAGGAGAGATTTGATCGCGTACAGTCAACTCGTGTGCGGTGACTTTTATAGGAGACGATTTTTCGGTCTCGTCAAAATGACGCCACGGAAACGATACGCTACCGTAACGACAGTTACCGTGAAATCCTCAGGCCTGCCGTAGTTTTTTTTGTAGTTGTTGTTTTGACTGAGAAATTTCCTTGCATCACAAAAACGCACATTATTTGGAACTGTGCGTCCCACGGGAAAATTATGCGTCTAGGACGCGGGACGCAGAGGTAACGAGATGGCTGCATACAGTATGTGCAACTGGCACCCGGACACCCAGGGCCGCAGTTACATGATGGACTTCGTAGCCCTGTCATTGGTCACATTTTTTGGACACTCGAGTGAAGAGAGGAATGGAGCTGTGAATTGATCACCACCTGGTGTTGTCTCCAATGGTGGGGGGAGGTTGCCAGTCTGACCAGGCACACCTAAACCTATTTTGAGGGTTTGTACAAACGAGGTGACCATGTTTCATCCTTCCGTTATTGAGGCAGCTGACTGACTGGAGCTACGGCTGTAAAGTGGGCATGTCGTTCAGGCCATCCCAGAACCAGTTGATAGACAGCATTTAGTCGCACTGTCTGTCTATTCACTCTACCCGCCTGAGATGAACTGAATTCCATTAATACATTCCAGCCCCTCAAAATCACCATTCTTTTGGGTTTGCGTGTTTAGTAAATAAAATACAGTACTGGATAAAAACATAATAATCAAGAATGTAAATAAATAAACTGGTTACATAAAGTGTAATTACGGTCCTATATGCTGTGCGCTTTTTATGGCCTCATGAGTAATATGGGGAACATGCCCGGTTTGTCTCATTGAGCCTCAGGGTGTGAGTTTAGGGTTAGCTATGTACTGTTTGGCTTCTTGCAAGTGTTCTCATTGTGTATTTGACCATTTGTCCCAATCAATAAACAGCTCTAAGTGTATCACTGACTACTTATTTCACTTCACTCAAGCGGCATCATATCTGAAGCCTGCATGTAAATAATTTTTTGGCTCACGATACAAAGCAAAGATTCTACCATGCGATTGTCTATCATTTAAAGCCTGTTTGTCGTCAAAACTTTCAGGGATCGTGAATTTGCACAATGAGCTCATTTTCAGCTGCCAATGCGGCCAGTTGTGCGCCAGTCACACATTAGACATCAGATTGTCAGCCAGTGAATTCTACATGTGCTTGAGTGACAACGCCAGTGGAAGGGACGCCATCCTACAGCAACTTTTTCCTCTTGACCATGTGAGAGTGCAATCAACCAAGACACCAAGCAGGACCATAGAAGAATATTTCAGAAGATTTTAGTGTTATTTATGGTGCACTTCCCACATTTTTAGTCTGTGGCTCATTCTAGCGAAGCACTATCCTTATGCGTTGTAACTGGTTGTAAACGTGATGAATTGGACTTTTCAGCAATTCAAAAGTACCGAAAATTCCGGGCTACAGACCGCACCTGATTAAGAGAAGCATGCTCAGATTTATTAAGAAAAATCAATTTTGTAAGTATATGCGCCGCACCGTATTATAAACCGTTGGCCAATGAGTAGGCGGGGGTTTGCTTCTGCGTCCCTGACGCCTGGAGCGCCTCCGGGTGAGGCCGCGGACGCGGTCCCCCGCTGAACCCCCGCAGAAAAAAAACGCAAAATTTCTTAAGGTTAAAATAATCTCCATATTTTTATGAGCATGATATATGCATTTGCACAACAAAATTACGCTGAAACACATCATAAGAGCCCAGACAAAGAGAGATCTTGATGCGCATTTGCGTAATTACGAGGAGAAATACTGCAGCCCACTAGGCTGTAAATTAGAGCTAAGATCGGTCCTAAAAAAATCGAGCCCGACCCAAACCAGCCTGAGGGTATTTAAGCGCGACCCGGCCCGAGCCCGATCACTTAACTTGATTTGCAGGCCCGAGCCCGAAGCAAACCCGACATTTCATATTTTATTTGTGATGACTCGGGAGGAGGAGGGGTGATTTCTGATAACAAAGCCTGTCCTTTGGAACGAAATCTAAGTTAAACAAGACTGTATAAACATTTACATCTTTTATATTTCTGTTTATGAAGAGGTTACATAAACCGACCATTTTCCATCATTGACGGATTTTTTTAAGAGTGGACGGGGAAAATTTAAGGCCGTCTGCCATTTTGACGGTTTGAAAATTGGGCCGTAAACCACCGCAGCAGTACGTCCTTAAGAATACAGCGCGGCACTTTAAGAGAGAGTAGCAGAGAGACAAAGACGAACAATGACGGGTGGATACGCGACAGAGACTGGAAGGAGTTCTTTGAATTGTTATTGCAAGAGTTTAGTACAGTACGTGTTGTGATGAGGCGACTTCTGTTTTTTTTTTTTGCGAACCATGGTCTCTCGTGGCCAAAACTATTAACGGCCTCGAAACAAAAAAAAAAAAGTCAGCGAGAGAGAAGTCCGACCCGACCCGAACCCGAAGCAATGACTGACATTTTAAGGCCCAACCCGACCCAAACGGGTCGGGTCGGGCTCGGGCTCGATCTTACCTCTACTTTAAATAGAATAATGCAGTCACCTTTTTTATTTACAGTCCGAGTGAGAGGCAAATCAATTGTCAGATGGTCTTCGTCCATATTTATTATTTCATCTGGGCTGATGGAATTCTCCGCTATCTTTGTTTGTGTGAATGTGCGGAACGAAGCAAGTTTGTCCTCGTAATTGGGAGGGAGCTGCTGACACAACGTCGTGCGTGCCCTAATAGACAGACTTTTCCGTTTCATGAATCTATAACACCACGACGGCCCACCTTTAAAACCTTTAAAAGCTTTGGTTGTCTTTTTACACTGGCTCAGTTCTTCTTGCCGGAGCCTCCACCTTCGCACCATTGACTCGTCTCTGCCAAGATTATGGGCAGCAGCTCGATTTCCTTCTTTAACTGCCAGAGTGATCGCTTTTAGTTTAAAAGCTGCATCATATGCTTTTCATCTGGTATTCTCTATGTTGATCAGGGTTAGAAGAAAGACTGAAATAAGGAAGTTGTTTTTACCGGTAATCATACAATTTCATTGGACCCCTGTGTCCTACTCATTCATTTTATTGGTCGACTGTTGCCGGGTAACACATTTTTCCCCACTACGGCAAAAAGTGCGGAAGTTGTGATTAGTCATACAATCTCATTGGACCTCAGTGAACGACACATTCATTTTATTGGTCCATGTTTTTCCCGCGATGGAAAAAAAAAATAATTAAAAAGCCGCTTCATACTACACGCCCCAGTGTTGAAAGTGTGGAAAAAAAGTAGCGGCTTGTAATCCGGAATGTACGGTAAGTGGCAATAATAAATGGTATAAAAAAAATCAACCATAATACCATTCCCAAATTGTACCACTTGGGAGCAAAAAAAACCTGAATCATTAGTGTGACAACCAGTTTAAGGCAGCCAAAACGAGTCGGAGATGCTAACCAGATCTGGTAAACTGGTGGATGGGTGGTGACGGAGTCCGACATCAGATTCCTCCTGTGTGTGACAGAGAGAGAGAGAGAGAGAGAGAGAGAGAGAGAGAGAGAGAGAGAGAGAGAGAGAGAGAGAGAGAGAGAGAGAAGAAGGTTTCCTGGACAGCCGTTACTACAGTGGACATCTTATCATGTTATCAGGTTACAGGGTGCATGAAAGGGTCAATGTCTGTAGGATTAGTGCTGTCAAGCAATTAAAAAAATTGTGAGATTAATTATGATCTGTAATTAATTGATCTAATTAATCTAAATTTTAATCTCATCTAAAAATTGCAGAAAAAACTATTTTCATTTTAAATTCATTACATTATTGAAGCAGATCAAAAGATTGACATCACGTAAAAAGTCGTATTATAAAGTCTTTTATTGTTTTTAAATAGACTTGAACAGATGCAGCCCTCGCCATTTACTTTCTGCTGCATTTGAGACTCGTCCCAAATCCGACCTGCAACATTTAGTTTTGACCACCAGGGGGAATATTACTATTTTGTTTGATTTTGTTAATCTCCAAATAATTACAAAATAAAAATAAAATAGAACATCAGGTCCATAAAAAAGTACTTAGGTTAACATCAAAAACAGTAAGAACACTTTTCTGAGCAATACAAGTACTGAACACTGAACTTGCTTCAGATAATAAAAAATAAAAAAAACAGACCCTTAAATCACAGTGCTGTAAGTTAGCACTTCAGAAATAACACTGTTCATCATTACAAAATGAAGTGCTCAGATAAACATCAATCACTTCTCGTAGGCTACAGAGGGCACAGCAGCTATGCTGACTTCATGCCTCGTACGTGGGTTGTTCTCCTCGAGTTTAGTTTGGTGAAGAGCTATGCTATGGCTAGCTAAATTGCTAAGGCTTTCGGTGCTAACGTTAGCCGTGGCTGCACTCGCGACTGGGTGCTTTGCATTAAAACCCTTATAGGAAAAACGTCCGAGAAACTTGAGCTGCTTCGGTGGGAAGCAAACTCTTTCTTACAAATTAGGCACACCACTCTACCTTTATCAATGGTGCCGTCAGGGCGTTTTTGGAATGTAAATTGTCCATTCATTGTGCCGAGAACTCTCACATGCTCCTACATTTTCACCTCTCGTTTTCTCACCACTGCTTACTTAGCCCGCCCAACTCCAATGGGAGCCTATCAGCTTCTCCTAAACAAGCCCAAACATAATGACAGCCAATCAACGTCCACTTCAGGCTGTGACTGACCAGTTTGCCCACCCTCAACACCTCGTACACAGGAAGCTAACACAGAAAGAGCGATACAAAAAGGCACCCCACCTACAGAAACAATAAAACTAGAGATTAAAATTAAGATTAACGCGATTAAAAAACAACGCGCTAAATGTGACTGTAATTAATTAGTCGCGATTAACGTGATAAATTGACACCTCTATGTAGGATATCAATTGGACTGCGCATAATGGTCTGCTCCGCACCAGATCTGCAGAGTAGGGATTCAAATGCAAAATGTTGCCATTTCAAGAGCCTAATGACAACTAATCAAAAAATATCACAGTTGGTGGGGTTCCATCCAACTGTTTTTATTCAAACAATCAAAAATTCCCAAAATAAACCTGAATTAGAACACTTGGAAGAAAAAGGCCTCTAAAATTTGCAAAAGATTTTTCTTGCTTGGAGGGGGTTGATTTTTTTAGCATACAGTTCAAGGGAAATCTGATTTTGGCTATGGAAACAGATTTTGAAAACGAACAATGACAGGACCGAACACCACGTATGGTTGTAACGAAAAAATAGCAGCAGCTGATTAAGGTATGAGTGGAAGGGGAGGAAAAAAATTGTAAAATTGAAGCAAACATTCACACGGCAACACGCCTGCATTCCCATACAGACAGAGAACGATGCAGTGGTCTCCTTATCTCCTTAACAGAAACAGAGTTCTTTGGCGTCTCCTTCTCATGACAGCTTGGTATACGGTGAATGCTGACACAAGAGTGATCAGAGATCTTCCAAACCATTAAAGCTCTGTCAACAATATGTCCATGATCAGCTGAGTGTCTTGTGGCAGAGAGACACTCTCATATGCCATCATTTCCACTCAATATTCTCAAAAATAATAACAAATGGAAACGGGCAGACGTTGCATATTTGGTTTGGGCATTTTAATTAAATCTGCTTAAAATTTTTGAAACATTTGGATGGAAACTCCATTACCGTATTTTCTGCACTAAAAGGTGCACTGGATTACGAGGCGCACCTTCAATGAATGACCTATTTTGTAATTATTTTCATATATTGCACGCACTGGACTATAAGGTGCAATCTACAATGCGGCCACTAGATGGAGCTACAGGTACGTCTTTGTCCGTCTCCGTGCCTTCTCTTCTTCCGTTAGACTTGAGAGGCATTCATGACCGCCTCCAAAAAACATAAATTAACGATTAGCTCAATGAAACTACGAAAAATGAAAACACAGTAATGCATCAAAACAGAAAATCACAAAATATTCTATAGCCCCCCCGACAGAATTTATTTTGGCATTTCCTTGAGCGTAGCTGCAACTGAACGATCAGATGTCAGTAAATTGGGAGGGACTGGACTGTCTCAGAAGTGTTTGTTATTTATTCCTTTGTTGTGTACTGTATTCACAAACGAGGAAATCACTAAATAAATTCTGTAGTGGAGCTATAGAATTTATTTTGTGATTTCCTCGCTTGATTTTCTGTTTCGATGCATTATTTTCAGTTTTCGTGGTTTCATTGAAGGAATCGTTAATTTACGTTTTTTTCGAGGTGGTCATTAACGCCTCTCGAGTCGAATGGAAGAAGAGAAGGCACGGAGACGGAAAAAGACATACCTGTATTTGTTGAGACTGTGAAAACCATTAATAAAGTGTGCGTTTTAAAAAAACAACACCACAGTTCTCCTTTTTTTGGAGCTGCAACAAACACTTATTTGATAAAGCAGCAACACAGTTCACTGAACCAACAGCAGGTTATAACATTGTAAGCATCTCTCCAGCGAGGAAACATCTTGGGGTCAACATATTACCGTAATGACCATACACAAGGTGCACCGGATTTTAAGGCGCGCCGTGACCTTTTAAGAAAATGAAAGACTTTTCGGTGCGCCTTATAGTGCGGAAAATACAGTAGTGTCATATTTTACTAACATGAAACTTTCATGCACCATGTACAATTTGGGGATAGTGATAACTGAAGTGTGTATTCTGCACATATTTAGTCATGCAATTATAACTTTCTCATGTCCACAGTGAAATTCTGTTTTGTAGCCAGATGTGTCCTTGAAGCACACTACCTCATCAGTTAGACATATGAATGCACCAGTTGATTCAAGCTAAAAATCGGTTTAGGAGTAACGAAAGTCCTGATGCCACACCATAAGTTTCGGTACCGCCCTTCTGATGATATAAATATGATGTGAATCCCTCTCTTCTTCGCACTCGTGACCACCGCAGCCATTGTTTGTAAACGGCGGGTGCCCGGAATATTCTGTTATTAAAAGCTTCGAAGAAACTGTCCATTGACTCCAGCCTGTGTTTGGACAACTAATATCCTTATCATCCGAAATTCAACGAACACGTGGAGGAAAGAAGGCCACTTTCCCCCAACATTTGGTGACCCCGACATGATTTCGGTCAACAGACAGAACAACAAGCCTGCTTGCTTGATTCTATTTACCATGTTTAATAGGTTAAAGGAAAAAAATCCTAAAGTGGCTCTTACATCTTCCTATTTTTCTGAATGTGGCCCTCGAAGGAAAAAGTCTGCACACCCCTGACCTAAAGCCTCTCGTGGGTGGAATACAGCCCATTAGGTCATTATAGGGCTTTCCATGCCACAAAGAAAGGCACTAGCCATCAGCTAGCTTGCAAGCTAACCAGGGCGCCTCTCTGGATGGGCAGCGAGATGGTCGACGGCGTCAACTCCGCACTTAGTGTTGTTGATGTGTGAGTCCGCATAAAAGACAGTTCAGGCAAAGTCAACCATTTACTAAACAGGGTGGCACATGTAACTCAGCCTGTGGCTCACATGACAGAATTTAACACTTTGTTGTACACCCACAATATGATGGTAGCCTGAGTAACACCAAATACATAACACTCAGGAATTTAAATAACAATACCCAGCTGTTCTGTAAATTGTGGCATTCAGAGAAATGCATTTTTGGGGTGGAGTGGTACCAAGCAAGCTAACTGAATGCTGTAGTGGTAAAAATGAATCAAGTAATGGAAAAATATAATTTCAATGAAGTTTTGAAGTTGCGTAGAGTGTAAATAAAAACATAATACTTTATCAAATCTTTTTCAACTTATAATGAATTAAATACACTACAAAGACAAGATATTTAATGGTAGCTTTCAGTACCTCTAACAAGGTTATGAACCACTGGCTTAGCAAAAAGTAGCCACCCATGTGTGACCTAACCTGAAAAAAGTACCCAAATCCCATTATCTTGATCTAGGTTTCTGTCTCCAGAGATAGCCTATATGCACTACAAATCACAAATGATCATCTTTTGTTTCCTCCTTAAGTGTGTGTTAACGTGTGTTACCCTGCTGGCAACGATGAGCTGAACGAGACCAGATGAAGAGCGGAGGATAGAAACGGCCTCTTGATGGGTAAGACCCACTAGTGACTGACCATTAATCATAAGCAACTCATCACCAGCTTGAAGACGGCCATCCCTGTTATACAAATACAAATGGAAATGCATGGAAACAGTTTTGAAGTAGACCCTTATCACTTTCAAAGGTCCTACTTTAATTTAAGCCTTGATTGTATTTTAAAATGTCCTTTTGATCATTACAAATAAAATAAGAGGTAAAAAAAATCTAGCTACAAAAATTGTGAACAAAAAAAAAAAACACACTTGAGATAAAGCAGTAGAAAACCAAACCTGTGAATTGTTCCTCCCTCCTCAATATGAGCAATGATAATGCCATGAGGCGAGCGCTTGGAACCACGCCCACCAGTTATCTGAATGCCCAAGCCCTCTTGACCCTTCACCAGGTGCATTTTCCAGATGTGGCAACCCTCGCTTGGCTATAAAAAAGAAGAAAAACAAAAACATAGATCATGTTAGTATTGTTTCATGTGTCACAAAGCACATCTGATTCCTAGGAAAAGAGAATCTTAAATGAGTATTGAAACTGATGGGTTTTTTTTCAAATAGATAAAGGAAAGCATGTGTTATTATAAGGTATATGCCAAATGAAATGTATCCATGCGCAGAAGTCACAGGCTCTTGTCTTGTGAGATAGTCGGCCACAAACTACAGGCTGGATACCTTAAAGCACTGATGTCAAACTCAAGGCCCAAGGGTGAGATCCGGCCCGCGCGACGTCATTTATGTGGTCCATCAAGTGTGCCGACTATTGTTTCGAACAATATTTGAGATGGAGATGGGATTTGTTACCACGAACCCCCATTTCAAAAAATTTTCGAAATAGCTGTACAAATAATTTACTGGCTTCTGATTTAAAAGCTAGTTTGTTGTCGATAAGGGGATATAAGGGGGTCTTATGGGTTCACAGTCATAACAGCCGTCAGAGAGAAACCATACCTTGGATGTGGATTGCGAGAGTAATGAGTTTGACACCCCTGCCTTATAGTGTCATAAGAAGACTACGATCCATAAATCAGCAAATGAAAACGAACAATCAATGAAAGATGGTAGCACATAACACTAACAGGTAAAAAACAGGAAGGCCAGAAATGGAACAGAACCGTGCACCGATGCACTGTTAGGCGGACGTGCTAACCAATCGTCCACCATGCCACCCGACTATGTAAGTAACCATAACCATTTTTAGGGAGTGCATCTATTTTTCCAATTGTGTACTCTGAGTTGCTATCACCCACATGTATATATACATATATGAATGAGAATCTGCTATGAACGATGAATCCCAGTTTCCTCGATGTGATTGTACCTCACTGTGTGTAACAATGTTCAAGAATTTTTTTCTCTTACTATGTATGTTGCTTAGCACCTTAATGCAGGGACTTCTTCAAATGTGGCTTGTATTCCGTTGTTGCCACTCAAACCTGGCACTGTCTGCATGCTAGCTGCAGCGGTTACTTACTACTTGGGTCAGCCTGCCACATTGGGCAGGGATGACCAAACCTTTTTGACCGAAGATCTATTTTTGAAGCGACCAACATCCCGCGATCGACCCGATGGCGCACGTGCAAGCATATACACACGCACGCACGCACGTGGGCGCCCAACCATGCACAAGCGCGCATATGCACGAGCGCCACGATGAGCAACAGCCGGAACGGCCCCTCACATGAACGAAACCGAAACACACAGACACCTCCATTTCCTCCTCCCACCGCTCGCGGTCGACTTGGGACCAGTCTGCTGCCTCCTGGTCGATCACAATCGACATATTGGGCAGCCCGCCTTAAAATCAGGGGTACCGTATTTTCACACCTATAAGGCGCCATTAAAAGTCTAAAATTTTCTCCAAAGTGGACAGCACGCCTTATAATGCGGAGCGTCTTGTGTATGCGCTGAGTACCAAAACCTGACAGAGAGCCGACACGCATTTATATAAAGAAAAGGCGGAAGTGAATGAGGACAGGCATGCGGCGAAGAAGTCGGCCAATCAGTGAAGGGTGGGCGTGTAAGTGGACACTAAATGCATGCCCCAAGCAGGTACCAGCACCTGTATGAAATGTGGGTATGTGCATTATTGCAAAACAACTTCAGTTTTGGTTTCTAAGAACCCCCAAAAATGAATTCTACAAAGAGACACGCCTACGAAGCTCAGTTCAAACTTTAAGCCATCGGTTATGCGGACAAACATGGGAATCGAGCAGCCGCGAGAGAATTTAAGGTCAACGAATCCATGGTTCGCAAATGGAGGAAGCAGGAGAACGAGCTTCGCCAAGTGGTAAAGACGAAGCTGAGTTTCCGTTGAAAGAAGGCGAGGTGGCCCGAGTTGGAAGACCAACTGGAGCGGTGGATTCTTGATCAAAGAGCAGCCGGCAGAAGCGTCTCCACAGTCACCATTCGACTGAGGGCAAAAACTTTCGCCAAAGAATTGAAAATTGAACATTTTCAAGGAGGTCCATCTTGGTGCTTTCGCTTCATGAAACGGCGCCATCTATCCATGAGAGTGAAGACGACCGTGGCTCAGTAACTTCCAGCGGACTACAAAGAAAGGCTGGCCATTTTCCGCACCTACTGCAGTCAGAAGATTGCCGACAAACGCATCCAGCCTAATCACATAACCAACATGGACGAGGTCCCGCTGACTTTCAACATCCAACAATACGGTGCGCCGAATGGTTGTGAAAATACGGTAATTCGTTGACTAGCTTAGCGCCGTTGTTTGCGCATGAGAGGTGACCTAAAGGAAAAAAATTCAGTTGTCATCTGACTGGTTGCCCTGTATGTCAATCAAGTAACAGGATTGATGATAGGCTGACATCGTACATTCTGCTTTACTTAGCGCCGTTGTTTGAATGGCAGCGCCACCACTGAAGCGTGTTCGACACTTGTCATGTGAAAGCCCGCCAACCGCCAACTGATCCCAAGGCGACCGCGAGGTGTGTAGGAAAAAAAAAAGTTGTTTTTTTTTTTTTGGACAGGAAATCAGTGTTGCCAACTTAGCGACTTTGACGCTATATTTAATAAGTATTCAGACCTTCTCAAGCGACTCTTTTTTCCAAAAAGTGACTAGTGACAATCTAGCGACTTTTTCTGGTGTTGTTGGAGACTTTTGGAGTCTGTGTGGTGAAAGCGCGTTGTTCTCAATGAGCAGCACCGGGTGCTGTTGTGGCCCCGCACCCAAATGAAGCCACTGCTGGCTGATCGCGCTAGGTTTACAATCTGGGCTGGATTTAAATGTAAAACTTTTCTTTCTCTAAAATAAACTAAAAAAAAACATCAACAAATAAAAATTACAAAAGAAAAAAAGATAAGAAAAAAACATCCCCACTAAGTAAATCACACGCCCTGGTGACATCATTTAGCGACGTTTAGGACAGCCAATAACTAATTTCCTTACCGATGAGTTGGAAACACTGCTGGAAGTTAATGACTGTTAACAGTAGCGAGCAGCTAGCGATTACAGCCAAAACGTCAACATGGCTGAGAGGAAACGGGCCAAGAACTACCATTTTCTCCCTGAGTGGGAGCAAGATTATTTGTTTTGTTTATTCTCATTCAAAGCCTGTTTGTTTGATTTGCAATGCAACAGTGGCTTTGGTGAAGAAAGCGAATCTGGAGTGGCATTTCACAACGGTACACAGGATCTATGAGACGGATTTCCGGACTCGGGGGGAATGATGCTGAACACACAGACTTGCTGCTTCACACGGATGTTAGGTGGTTAAGCAGAGGTAAATTTTTGACCAGATTTACGGAGCTGTTGCCTGAAATCAAGGTCTTCCTGAGGCTTTCAAAACATGGGGATCACCATAAAAAGCTTGAGGTCCACCAATGACCTTGAGATTTATCTTTCCTCACTGATCTCACTGGCAAGCTCAATGAATTGAATTCAGAGCTGCAGGGTAAGGGTAAAGATATAGTCAACATGATGAGTTCAGTGAGCACATTTAAAAGCAAGCTAAAGCTGATGTCCAACAGGCTGCAGCTTGGTAACCCGTGCAACTTCCCTCACATGCAAGCAGAACTACAACGTCAAGGGAAAGATGTGACAAAGCTTGACAGTGCACGTTATGAGGAGCATGTTCAGAGCATCTCGTCAGAGTTTGAGAGGCGTTTTACTGACTTTGCATCCATCGAGCCTATAGTCAGCTATATGTGTTATCCATTTGATGCAAGTGTTGAAGTTGGTGACATTGCCGCCAAAGTCAAATCACTTTTCAACTTTGAAAGCTCCAGTCTTGAGGATGAGATTCTGAGATTGCAAAATGATATTGAGATCAAAGCCAGATCAACGTCTGCTCAACCTGGAGAGCATGTAGTGTTCTGGAAACTACTGGTGGCAGAGAAGTATCCCAATTTCAGAAGATGTGCTTTCAACCTGACAGCTCTTTTTGGATCAACCTATTTGTGCGAATCTGCTTTCTCGCACATGAACATCATCAAGTCCAAGTACAGATCAACACTGACTGATGGTCACCTTGCAGCCTGCCTACATCTTGCAACCAGCTCCTACACTCCTAACTATGAAAAGCTAGGCTCCTCCTCAGAGTGCCAGGTTTCCCACTAAGGTAGGAAGTAATTTCCTTTTTTTTCAAACAGAGACCTAACTGTTTCGTAGCAGTTTTTTTCTGTTTGGTTCATATTAAGGTCAGTAATGGTTATTGCTCATCATGCATATTTTCTTACCCCTCCGGAATGCCCAGAGGACCAACATCAAAACCAACAACTCAACGGCCCATTTTGTCAACATTGTTCTGTTAATGCAGCAAGCTGGGGCTCTTCCCCCATCTTGTTCAAATGGAATATGGTGGGAGCCCGAGATGCATAAACTGTGTTGTCTAAAACCCACAACTCAATGGCCCATTTTGTCAACATTGTTCTGTAAATGGTTCCCCCATCTTGTTCAAATGGAATGTGGTGTTTTTTTTTCACATTAGCATGCGAATGGTCAGCCAGTTGGCTGCCCTTTCGACATTCTATGTAGAAAAGTCAAATGGTGTGGCCCTGGGAACTTTATTGTTTTAATGTTTGTGGGGGAGGGGGCAGACGTTGAC